TTTTTTTTTTTTTTTTTTAAATTTAAAAGCCCTTTTAGAACCGGGACAACCGGTTCTAAAAGGGCTTCTAAATTTAACAACCGGTTCCCGCGAACCGGTGGGAACCGGCTCCAGCTCACCACTGGGCACAGCTCACTTGCTGGAGGATTCTCTGCACCTTGAAGTCTTTAAACCACGATTTGAGGACTTCAATAGCTCAGACATAGGTTAGGGGTTTGATAAAGGAGTGGGTGGGTGATCTCCTGCGTTGTGCAGGAGGTGAGACTAGATGATCATAATGGTCCCTTCTGACCTTAAAGTCTATGATTTGTGTTTTTTAAGATACACAAGTTCACATACCTCAGGTGTTACGATACACTAGCCCCTGCTTAGTATTGTCCATTCAGTTTGTTTGCCAGATGACCATTATGTGTGTTGAACGGATGTAGCATAAATTTGGACGTATATTCTAAGAGTGTAAAGCTCTGTGTGTGTGGTTAGAATGAAAACAAAACGGAAAGATGTCAGATGAAACTTTCCTATGGACCTAGTTGAAATAACTTGCATATAATTAGTTATCACAGCTGTTTCACATTGAATTGGAAAGGGAAGGATTCATTTAGATAGCTAATACTTAGCAATATTTAATACTTTGTACAGGGCTTTGAAGATGCAATCGCTTTAGCTGAAATCTCACATTTAAACTTCCTCTCCAGCATCTTCAGTTTGTTACTGCACATTGTTCTCACGGGGCAGTTTGTTTTAAATTGAGAATTTATTTGTTCCTTAATTATAACAGATGTGCAAAAACATCTCTAGGTTGCCCTTCAGCCCTGTCTGTTAGTGCCCTCTTGTGGGGTAAAAGTAATTCACTCCCTGTCTGGTCTAAAGCTGAAAAGTTACCCCAACCCTGCTCCTCAAGGACACCCTTTGCAAGATGGGGGGTCTATAACAGTGTTGGGACTAACCACAGCGCCTCCCGCTGGTGACTCCGGGAATTAGCTCAGTCCAGTGGAGCGCCCTGTCCTGGTGGTGTCCCAGCCGTTGTCTCGCCCTCGGTTGGCATCTGAGCCTGCGTCACTGTCAACTTGCGGCATCCTCTTTGAGCCACTGCCCTCCGGCAGTGCCCCTTAGTCCATCCTCGCCCCCTTCCGGGGGTGGGGGTGGGAGAGGGGTCAATCAGCTGTCTCTCTGCGCCCGGGCCAATGTGGGCAACTGCACCCCCAAAGTCACAGCCCTCTTGGCAGGGGGTTGGTGCAGCCCAAGATGGCCACTCCCATCAGCCGGGTATAAGGCAAGGGGGGGGGGGGGGCCAGGCCCGCCCACTACTCTGGGTCCCAACCCAGGGACCCTCTAGTGGTAGCCATCCTGCCCTCCCTCTGTCTGTCTACGTCCCTGGGCCGCTTCCCCTTCGGCCCCTCGCACCGGCTAGGCCCTTCTCCTCAGGGACTGCAATCTGGCAGACACCGGGATGAAGTTCCCTTCTGCTCCCCCAGGCCTGCCCAGCACTGTGCTGTCCCAAGTGCTAGTCTCCCCACCTCTGGAGACAGGCCTTCCCCCATGAAGGTCTGGGACAGACTGACTACTCCCTTCCCGGGCAGCCTTTATATAGGGCTGAGCCTGGCCCTGATTGGCTGTCTCCAATCTGGGCCCCGATTGGCTCCCAATAAGTCCTTCTCTGATTGGCTGCCCGTGTGCACTGGCCTGCTGCAGCCTAAATTCTCAGGGAGTGGGGCAGCAGCCCCACTACAGGGTCCTACTTACTTGATCCTGAAGGCTATAGTTTTCCTCCACCTCTTAAGTCAGAGGCCAGGAGCACAGCCTTTCCCACGGTGCCCTAATGCAAAATGTCCTGTGGGAAGCCCAGCTCCAACCAGGGCTAAGTACGCAACTGAAGCTGCTTCCCTTCTTCCTTGCATAGATCAGACAGAGCCGACTTCTTTAGAAGCCAGGAACAGCTTTGTTGGACTTAACTGGGTCCAGAACAAGGCTTAGAGCTTGAGGAGTTGCTTTGAAGGGGTCTGATTTGTGACAAATGCAGGAATTAGCCTTGTTTACATGGCAAGGAGGACAGTGTTTGGGCAAATACAAAAAGGCAACTCCCCCTTCTCAAGCACCCAGCATTTACCTTTTAGCCTACAGCCAGATTTAAAAAGGAGTCTTATTAATGAGTTAGGGTAACCCATCAGCTAGAAAAATGTCATTGCAGTCACACATTAGGTACAGAGCTGGTGGTCATCACTAGGGTGGATGGAGATGCTGGAAGTGGTGCAGTTTTCCCCATCACATAATGTTTAAAGGTTATCTGGCATCCAACCTGGAAAAATCATAAAATCACAAAAAGGGCCATAACTGGCAGCAACATTGGCTAATTTTGACCAAAATTGGCAGAAAGCTTCTAAATATAATAGATAATGCAACTATGTACCTAAAATAGTAGTGTTTAGGACCTGTTTAGCCCCAAGTCACAGATTTTATGCATTTCCCTGTACCTTTTTTGCCTTCAGTTAATCAAAAGTCTGTAGTCACATGACAGTAGGAGCCTCTTTCTACCATGTATTACATCAACATATTGGCCATTATTTGTCATTATGATTTGAGACGTCGGCTGTCTGCTATTTTATAAATGTTGGCTACTGCTCAACGATTCCTGCACCAGCAACTCGTGTTAATACAGCGTACACCATGATGAAATATTTTCAGGCTATGGTCCAGTCTCTGGGCCAAGACTGGACCTGTCATCTATGATGAAGCAATCTCCTGCAAAGCCCGGTTGATGAAATGGAGGAATCAAAATGAATTGGACAATGACCACCTCGAGACGGGAGGCAAGCATTGTGCAGTGAATTTCATGTGTGATAAAGGCAATGTGATGCAAGACAATGGGTTTGAAGACATCCTTGTGGAAGGTAGCCTCTGTAGTGCTCCAGTCATCAGCCATGCTCTAAGAGGGAGCCATCTAACCATGGCATTAAAGTTCACAAACGTATAAATGTGTCGATAAATCGGTTGAGATGGATGGCACTTGGTGATTCCATGGACAATGATGTTGTCCCAGAAGATGAAAAGAGACATCTTGGAGAAAGCGCAAACATGCACGGAAGCATTTGAAGATGTGGAGAAAGCACAGGACGAAAACAGAGTGGAAGCACAGAATGCTCTGGCAGGCTTTATGAACCAAGCCCGATCACTCCACCGGCTCATGGACACTTACCTTACAGTACCGGTCTGGGGTTCCCACCCTGCTGAAGCTGTTATACTAATTCAATCTTATTGGGCTGACAAAAATCTGTCTCTCCCTGTATAATGCAGGAGATAGGCTGCTCACCTAGGTAGCAGCCCCAGTGGGTTCAAATCTGCCCTCTACTTCTCATGGAGGACTGTGAACAGGGGCTCCAGCCGCCCAGGTGTCTGGTGTATAGGGATGGGGAGCTCCCTTGCTTTTGCCTGTGGAAACTGTTCCATGTTAATTAACTATTGTTTGAGTGGCAGCAAAACCAATAGGTGCTTCAGTTCTAGGAGCTGCAGCTTCAACTTCTTCCCCCCCCTGTTAAGCAGGGTAGGTGTTGAATGCAGCTGTGGTGGGTGTGCCTTGAACTTTCAGCTTGTGTCCTCTTGCCTGTGGAAGCTGTTCCACTTTAATTAAATGTTAGTTGGGCCAGCAACTACCTGCAGCTTTCCCTGCAGTCCAGTGGCTAGGGTGTGGGAGAGGTGGGTTCAAATATGCCCTGGTGTTTGTATACCCTCATCTTTTTGTTAGACTGATTTGGGGGGGGGGGGTAGGTGACCTCCCTCTTGCCTGTTGAAGCTGTTTCACATTAATTAAATGTGATTTGGGCCAACACAATCCCCACTCTCTAGTGCAGTGGTTAGGATACTCACCTGGGTTGTAGGAGATCCTGGTTCAAATCCCCCAGCTGCCTGTTCAGCAGGGGTTTGCACAGGGATTTCCTGCCTCCTTGGTGACGGTCCTTTTGAGATGGGCCATCCTTGTCAGAACCCCCCTCTCTTTCTCAGGAGGCCATTGTCTTCTTGGGACAGGGAGGGGATTTGGACAGGGATCATGCCCCTGTGACTCTCCCCAGGAGGTGGGAGCCCCCAGTTCACACCCCTTAAAAGAGCAGGGGCATGCCCTGGGGTCTGCCATAACCTGGGTGTGTATCCTCATCATTGTGGACAAAGAATGAGTGGGGGGTTTTGCAGCCAGCTGCAATTAATCTTTAATTAAAAGGAACAAAAAGCCCTGTAAAATGTCCCTTGTCCAGGGACAAGGGCTTTACCTCATTAGCTAGAGCCCTTCTGAGCAGGCAGAGTGGGGATTTGAACAAGGGTCTACCATATGCTAGCTAGCACCCTAATCCCCACACCATAGGGGGCTTCAGTAGGGTCTGTTGACCCAGTTAATATGTAGTGAAAGTGGAACAGACTCAACAGAAAGGATTAAGGCAGTTCTCCCATCAGATTGCCTCCTAGCCCAGCACTGAGGCTATTCATTTGAGTGGGAAGAGATGAGGTTTCAAATCAAGCAGAAGGGGGAAGTGAACCTAAACCTCCTACAGCCATTGAGTACTTCCCGTTTGATTTTGATCCTGCCACTCTTGGTCGGCAGGCTTGAGCGTTTTGCACACACCCGAGCTGTTGTTGAACAGGAAACACGTGACCAGGGCTTGGAGGAAGGGCCTGATCCAAAGCCCACTGAAGGCTGTGGAAAGACTCAGCCATCAACAGCCTTGGGATTAGAGCCTAAAACTGGCAGGAGAAGAAAAAGCAGCGGCAGTCCCATGACGTGCAATGCATTGCTTGGTGCGGCTGCTGCTCTCTGAAGCAAGTCTTACGAACCCTTCTGTAGCCAAGTTCACCCGCCCGTCACAGGCATGACTGGCTAACAGCATTTTTGTAAGTCCAGAGACAGAACGGACAAAAGGACCCTATTACGGGGATTTATCTCCTTTTAAAACTGCCTTCCTCCAGCCAAAAGAGGTTGAAATCAAAAAGCAGCACCGTTTTCCAGTGTGCTTTATTTAAAAAAAATATTTTAACATATGGCATAAAATCAGACTATGCCATGATGGTTCATGTAGTAATACAAGGATCTAGCTCCCTTTGTAATATATTGTCTTCTCCCATCTGTGAGCTGTAGATAAGTCTGTTTTCCAGGGGGAAGCGATAGAAAGGAACTACAACCCAAAGGTTTGAATGCGTCCTGGTGACTGGGAATGCAGAGGTGTGTTGTGAAGACTACATGTGAAGCAGCAGCAAAGTATGCTATTTATAGAGCAGGTGAGGTTTCTTTCTTCTAGTGTAGGTCCGGTGGCTATTTAGAAATCAGAAAACATCAGCTTTACAGAGCAGTTCACTATGGAACCCCGTACAAGTTCAATGCTAATAGTGCCCCGGGCCGGAGCACGGAGACCACGGAGCAGGGCTGTGCAAACTTAGTGGGGAGAGGGGCTGGGTGTTAGGTCAAGGAAAGGTGATGGTGGTTAGAGGCGTCAGCTCCAGGGTCTGTTCTAGTGAAGGGCGTTGCTCCTGGTATTCAGTGGTATGTCCATTCCTGTGATGGCCATATTCAAACTTAATCCTCAGCTCACCAATCTTGGACTGGGGTAAAATATCCGGGATCCACTCAATAGTGAAAGGGGTCGGTTCCTTCTGATCAGGTGATGTGTTGCCTGGGGGAAAAGAAGCAAGAGGAGGTAGCATTTCAGCCGTATCACGCTAACAGTGTATTAGCCGGAGGTAATAAAATGACCTCACAGACAGGGCTGGTTAAAGCTAGGCTGAAAATTAAGGCTGAGTATCTGTAGGCATAGCCAGTCATTTTAGATGTCCAAGTACCCAATCTGTGGGCACACCCAGGCTGCCCAAGTGGCATTAATTGTGCCATAATAATGAAGATTGCTTAAAAAACGAACCCCACAAACACAGGCTCAAACCAGAATTCCTGGCCACTTCTGCCACAGAATTAAATCATGTCACATGAGACTCAATGCCCCGCCCCTTCATTAGAATAACACTTGCCTGCTTTCAGCCGTTGTCTTGTCTGTAAGATTTTTTGGATGGGGCCTGTCTCAGGACATGATTATACAGCACCAAACACAGTGGGGCCTCTAGGTACTACCATGATGTAAAACCATCCCCATTTTGCAACGAAAGGGTTTTCTCAGAGGTCTTTAACAGGACGATGACACGTGTGGTGGAGCTGACAGTACTGGGCACGTGATTTCATCCAACACATTTACAAAGGAGGACAAAGCATCACTAGCCCGGTCTAGCGCTGGGGACACAGAGAGGTGAGGCCACTCGCTCAGATTGAGGCAGGGTGAAGTTTATCAGCACGAGGCCTGTTCACTAGTGGAAATAAGTGGTGCCTAGATCTTGTTCTGACCCTCTGTAAGGATGTGAATTTCACCCACAGAGTCAGTGGTAGAGCTGGGAAATTGCCCCGTTCTGTTCACTCCCTCTGAAGCATCTGACCCCGGCCACTGGGCTAGATGGACAACTGGTCTGACTCAGTATGACCAGAACTAAGGACTCCTCACACACAAATGAACCCAGGTGTCCCGTCTGTTTCCCCCCCACCCCCCTATGCTCAGACCACTGGATGACAGTTCTCTCTTTTCTCAAACAAGAGTGGTAGGATCCGGTCAGGAGGTAAGAGCTGCTTGGGTTGATTTCACTCTTCTTCCCTCTGTTATAAACTTACCAACTTTGAGGAAGGTTTTGAGTTCCAAGGGCCGGAGAATCGGCTGCTTCTCCAGGCGCCCGTATGTCTCCGCGATGCTCTCCACTTCAACCTTCGGGCACTTAAACAGCTCATAGGTCCCATCCCGGTTCTGGATGAAGCTGCGTGTGATTTCCAAGGGCATCTTGCAACAGAAGCCAGGCACAGATGATCAGCATAGAGCTTTAGTGGCCGTCAACCACTACCAAGCTGTATTTGGCACTGTCCCTTAGCCTGCAGACTCTCAGGAACAAGGCAGAGCGGGGGCGTACAACCTCAGCTTCACACGCGCCTGCCCACCACCTCTACAGACCCAGAAAGCGGACAGTCGGGGGGGGGAAGCCCATCTGAGCTTACAGTCCCTGCCCAGAGCTCCAGAAGAGAGAACCCCCCCCCACCAATCCATCACCAAAGCCCTTGCTTCTAAGCTGTAGGAGGTAGTCCTGCCTGACCCCAGCTGGGGTGATCAGTTAGTCCCTCTAGCTGAGGCTGGACTATGCTCGCCTGATCCTTGCTCAAATGTTCCCACCGAAGGAATTCTGCCAAATAATGCTTTCCACTCATTGCAGACTTTCCAGCTCAGAATCACTCTGTTGTGAAGCAATCGAGGGCCCCAATTCTGCAAACTCTATGGGCTTGTCTGCACTATAAAGGCTTTGCCAATATAACTAAACCAGCAGCGCCCCCTAGTGGAGATGCAGTTCTTTTCCAGGTATACTTAAGCCACCTCCCCTCCCTGAATGACACAAGCTATACCAGCAAAAAGACACTTGCTGGTATAAGCTGAGTCTACATAGGGGGGTTTCAGGCTGCTACATGACAAAGCCATGCTGATAAAACTTGGTTGCATAGATCTGACTTTACCCAGGTGAGTAGCCCCGTTGAACTCAATGCGTGTGTTTGCGGGAGCAGTGTCTAGCTCTGCCCTGTCTCCTCTCCAGCCTGCTGACCTAACCAGCTGGGCTCCCTGCTTGGTCTTTAGTGAGGAACCAGGAGAACAAACAGGCCTTACCTCAGGAGTGTCAAATATTTGCTTGACCTGCAGGATGTTGGTAATGTGCCAGGTGTATTTGGAAAAGGTACCCAAGGGAAGGGCATCTTTCCGGACAAAAGCTGTAAACAGGAAGACCATATTACAGATGTAGGGCCATCGCTTTTCTATATCCGATGGCTCCATATCCCACCACCAATCCCCAGAGATAGCCAGTGGTCCTTTCATTTTCTTTGTAACCTGAAGGAAGCACCGTGCATTGCAGCCCGGCCAACAGTGTACCCCCAACCTCACCCATAGCTTTTATACTCACACTCCCAATACAGGGCCTAAAAACACTAAACTAGACAGATTTCTGCATGGAAACCACCAGAGATTTCCCAGTGTTTAGATTTCCAAAGCTTTGCGCTTATGAGATCATAAGATCTTGTACCTGTAGTGGAATTAGGCAGCCGTTTCTTTGTGCTTCCTATGGAAATCCTCTGCTGCAGGGCATCGAAGAAAGACTGTGGTATATGGAACACCAGTGGCTCTGGTTTGCCTGCACATTAAACCAAGAGGAGAAAAAAAAGGAACAGTTTGACTGGAAACAGGTGGTATGGGACATGATATGAATAAATATTCTTAAGTGCTTCTACAAGGATTTGGTTTCACTAGCACAAGAGATAATCAGTTTTGTTTTCCCTTTAAGGTCTTGTCAGATCTCACAAGCTAAGCAGGGCCAGGGCCCGGTCAGTAACTGGATGGCAGACCTCCCCAGCTAACACTGGGTGCTGCAGGAAAGAACGTACCCTCTGCGTCAGTATCAAACCAGTGTCCCAGCATGGAATTAGGGGGCACTGGCCAAATTCCTACTTGGACAATTACATTTAGCCTAACTAAATTGCTCCTGCAATTTCAATGGGCTACGGAGCTTTTTGCTTCTTGCCCTAAATGGCAGTGTAGCATTGCTGTGTGCTGTTAACTAAGCTGCCACGTCCACTTTCAGTAGAAGGTGAAATGATTCATGGTTGCGAGGGCAGATCTTCAACTAGTATAAATCCACTGATTTCAGTCTACACCGAGGATCAGTAAATGGGTCCCACTTTACAATAAGATTCCCTTTACAAAGAGTTCATAAATGATTAACAGGTGTAATAAACAGTTAATCAATAGCCGTAGAGTCCAAAAAGTTGCTTATAACCAACTACAATAACCTTCTACTGACGGGCTTTTATATCCGTCCGTAGCACCTTCCTCCCATATCTGTAGCATGCTTCTAACACCACTTATGAACCCATGTACCAAGTGTGAACAAGCAAAGGTTTGTAAAGGACTTTGAGGCCTATCCGAATGACATGCACTATACTGAAGTGATCTAGTTCTCATTAGCGTTTGCTGCAGCAGACCCTGACTACCCAGGGTGCATTGGCAACAATGGAGATGTACAGACTACAAATGATGTGCCAGTAAAGGATTTTTGTTTTAAAAAACCTAGAACTCCTGCTGGCCGGAAGAAGTTATTCAGCCACTGGACTGGCTCATAAAAACTGTGCCGAGGCATATCTTTCACCCAACCCCACCCAGGCTTTTCAGGAAGAAAATCAGCGATAAGGTTGGCGTTCCCCACACTTGAATTTCCTCAGTACTGGAAAATCTTTGGTTGCCAAAGATCATAATGTTTAAGATCCCAAATCATGAATGGTTAGATTGTCCCTAGTGCTTCCTCAGCGGAGCACCCCGCTGCCCTGCACAGCCAATAAGGCCTACCCAGATTTTGGGTCCAAGTTAGGTGCAGAGCATATCCCTGTGAGCCCACGGGTGGGGAGAGGACAGAGAAGAGCTAGGATTGGATGGAGCTTCGGCCCAGCTTCACCCGCCCCAATTGCGCCGCCAGGTGTCAGAGGAACAGCTAAATGCACCCTTGTAAGGATTGCAGCAGCGTTCTTTATTCCAGACACACCTCCCCGGACAAGAGGAGAACAGGGGAGGAGCTGTGCATCTGAGATGTCTCCACGGCACAATGCATCCTGCAGCTAATGCACCACCCCTTCGCCTAAAGACACAATCTAGCCTTAAGGACAAAACTCATCCCAGTGCAGAAGGCCAGCACAAAGCCTAGGGTGACCAGACAGCAAGTGTGAAAAATCAGGACGAGGGTGGGGGTAATAGGAGCCTATATAAGAAAAAGACCCAAAAATCAGGACTCTCCCTATAAAATCAGGACATCTGGTCACCCTAACAAAGCCTCATGCAACAATTCAGACCATGTTTGATGTTTACAGCAGTGGTTCTCAACTAGGGGTACACAGAGGTTTTCTAGGGGGTACTCAACTCATCTAGATCAGTGTCTGGGGGATTGTGACTCCCAGGAGTGGGGGTGTCACAGGATGGGTTTAGGGGAATCGCAAGTGCAGGGCCGGTGTTAGGAGGTGGCAAGCAGGGCAATTGCTCAGGGCCTCGTGCCACAGGGACCCCTGTGAAGCTACGTTACATGCTTCAGCCGCGGGCAGCGGGGGGGGCTCGGGCTTCAGCCCTGCCACGCAAGGCTCCGGCTTCAGACAAGGCTCCCAAGTGAAACACAGGCTCAAGTATCACACTGACATGTAAGTACAATATTTATACTCCAGCTGATTTGTAGTTATATGGGAAAAAGGAGAAAGTCAGCAATGTTTCAGTACTAGTGTGGCGGTGACACTTGTATTTTTGCGTCTGATTTTGTAGGCAAGTCGTTTTAAAGTGAGGTGGAACTTGTGGTACGCAAAACAAATCAGACTCCCGAAAGGGGTACAGTCGTCTGGAAAGTTTGAGAACCACTGCAGAGAAAATCAAGACTGAAGAAAACACCCACATCAATGAAATGCTTGCCCCACCCCAGCCACATGCTCTTCTCCCTTTGACCCAGCAGATATTTAAAGCTGATCACAACTTACGCTGCTTAACTATTGTTGCTGCTTTAAGGATGAAGCAGCAAGAAGACAAGATTCTAGGCTCTCACGAGGTGGCTCCCAGACAACACTTACCATCAAATTGGTAATGCATGGTTTGATGGATGCGTTCGGTGACACTGGCCAGCCATTCTTGGAAGGACAAGGTCACCTGTGACTCATCCAGCAGCTGATTACAGGCTAAAAGAAAAGGAAACCCTTCATTAAATACAATTGCTCTCTTTAAACAGAGAGGATGAGCATTCTTCACTTCCCCAATGCGGTTCCCAAAGGAAACAATAAGCAATGAAAGGCCACATACATGCTGGATTCACACCAGAAGCTTTCTGTGTGCATACATATATACCAAAGTATATTCAGCATTACATTTATCAGACAGTTTCCAGAACTTGATGCCCTTCACTAAATGCAAAGCAGAAATATAGGGTGCAGAGTATGTGAGAGCAATGAACAGCAACATTTCTGCTATGATGAAGAAGACCTTGTATCCAGTATGCATCCCATTTTCAGGGGGATATAATTACAGTTGAGTGAATGTTTTTTGTCTAATTGTTTTTCTGCCGAAATTATTTTTTTGGGGGATCCAAAACTATTTCTGAATTTGGGTTGAATATGATGAATAGCTTCGGCTGGGGAAGAAAATTCGGAAACATTCTGTTTCAACAGGATCATTTCAAGACCGAATTTAAAATCAAAATGTTGTCGGCTTTAAAAAACAAACAAACTTTAAAAAAAAGGTGGAAAATGCCCAAAATGAAACAAAGAACGCAAGACATTTTGGGTCAATTTGATGAAAAAATTCACTTTGGCTCCAATCGAACCAGATTTCTTTTTCAGATTTTTTGGGGCAGCCCCCAACCTAAAAAGCCTTTATTCACTCAGCTCTACTATTACAAGTCATTGGGGCCCGACAGTTGGCATGTACAGCCAAATAAGAAAAAGTAAGATGCACAAACAAGGAACAAAGATATTTTCAGCTGAGAGTTGATGAGATACAAGAGGGAGTCAGAGATTGCAGTAAATGGTTTTAAGCAGAGAAAAGGAAAACTGATTTGTTCGGTCTTTTCTCTCATTACTTTTTCTAGGAAAGAGCTAGAGTGCTAAGAAAAATCTAACAAACCACTGGCAATCATGAATTTCAGGTGAATAAGGAAAATGAATAAATAGGAAAAGAAAATGTTTATTTTATAAGACCCTGATCCAAATACCATTAATGTCAATGGAAAGGGTCTCACAGGTTTCCATGGGAATTGGATTGAGCCTTAAGTCCCTAAGTATCTATCATGGTAAACAGAAATAATCCTAAATATAGAGAGAAATAAGCGATCCTAAAATGAGAGGTAAATAAACAGTTCTAAAATATACATGTATAAATAGCCAAAAGAAAGCCAGGAGTTATTTGAGTTAGTGCCGTTTGCGCTTGGTGTGTCCCCAGCCAGAACGATAGTGTTGGCTCGCCCTTACATAGAATACACTGGTGTAACTCTTCTGGCTTTGATGCAGTAACTCAAGAGTAAAGGAGAGGAGAATCAGGCCCCCAGACTTTAGAAGATCAGGAGACAGAACCTGGTTTGTCTTTTTGCACAAATATTTGCCACCACGTGGTTGTAAAATGCATCTGTTCACTGATTCTGGCAAAGAATCATCTCACTCAGACATGCAGCTGGGAGACGACACAGTGACAAAGGCCAAAATAAAAACTCAAGTCAGTTTTCTATTCCCATTTGGCCAAACTGTTCAGTTTCATCTTCAACAATTTTTTATTTTATATAAACACAACACTATCCCCGCTACAGACACTTTTTTTTTAAAACTCGGTATGAGAAGGCACAAACCCAAGCAGCTACACAAGAGAGAGTCAGCACCATCTTTCAGACAGACACTGTTATTCGGGTGTATAGTTTTGCCAATATGCAGGAGGAATTACAGAAGAGCAGCACGGAACCATCAGTTGCAATAAGAGAGCTTAGGAATATAGGGTCTGATTTTCATCTCACACTCCATTGCAAAGCTGGAGTTATTCCAATGGAGTTACACCAGCGTAGGCGAGAGGAGAATCGGGCCCATAATGTTTCTTTCACATGGGTTATAACAACTTTGAGCCAAATCACCAGCTGGTGTAAATATGCACGGCTCCATTGACTTCTATAGAGCTATGCTAATTCACCACAGTTAAGGATCTGGCCCGTGGTTTGCAGCATTTTTTTCCCCACTCACTAGGTATTTTTGTATTTCTGCTGCTCTTATGGCTGAGCGAAAGAGACCGCAGAAATGAAACTTACCTTGCCTTTTTAGTGAAGACGCAACAGCTGGCTTTTTCAGTCCGCTTTTCTTCAGATTGCAGTTGGCTGGATCTTGAGCCAGGAGTGGACTATTTCCTTGTGTACCTTAGGTTCAATTTAAAAAAGCTTTAGCTTCCAAGCTTTAGCGACACACTCTTTGTAACCTGCAGAGCTAGAATAGTAGCTTCTGATCGTCAAGTTTAACAACTGAGATCCCCAGGGGCTCCATCCTTGCACAGGGATGGAATCGACAAGGTGCTTTCCACCTCTAACAACCAGCACTCCAAGTGCACTCAGAGACAAGACAGAGGAAACATCTAGTTTCATTGAATCCCGTTAAAAAAAATCACAGGCCGGTTAGAAGATTCAAATGTTCCTCCAAATCAGCAATGACCTGGTCCAATCTACAGACATCCACTGAAACCCCTATTAAAGAACTGAAATGGTCCCTTACCAGATGCTTCATCTTTTTTCCTCTTTTTTGGCTTGGAAGCAGTGGGCTCGCCAGCCTGCACGGTGGATTCAGGATGGCAAACTAACTGGGGCACTCTGATCCCTTTGAGACCTGGAAAAAACAACCCTTGAGTCTTTATAACTAATCAATTATAATTAAGCGCTAGGTTAATGCAACATCCCGGCCCCCATCCTGCAAACATGTATGTGCATGCTTAAATTGACAGACGTGCATAATCCAACTAAACTCAGTGGGGCTACCCACGTGTGAGGTTCCTTATCTGAAAGTGCAAGATCTAAACTTAGTCTGTATTTTCAAACGTTCACAGCTTTGATAATTTCTAACCATTTCTCCCTCTCCACGTTAATAAGGGGCCTGTTTCTGCAAATCCTTACTCACCACACAAGTAAGGCTCTCGGACTGTCAATAAGCCACATATCCAGAGTCCAGCTACCTTGAGTTACAGGTGTGAAAAAAATATGTAGCAGCTTTTAGAGTGAGAAAAGAGCTTCCTTCCCACGTGTACACGACTGTTAGAATTAAAACAAACAAACAACTTTGGTCATCCCCAAAAGAGAATAGTTTGACAAGTTAAAAGTGAAAATAGGGTGAGGGATGGAGGGGAAGGAGTCATAACTAAAAGCATTTTGCCATTTTAACAATAACACTTGCTACTAAGGAAATGCTAGGATATTAGAGATGGCGGGGGGTGACGGTGGAGGGGCAAATCAAAAGGAATACAGACATGGATAAGAATCATAGAACCACAGAATATCAGGGTTGGAAGGGACCTCAGGAGGTCACCTAGTCCAACCCCTTGCTCAAAGCAGGACCAATCCCCAACTAAATCATCCCAGCCAGGGCTTTATCAAGCCTGACCTTAAAAACCTCTAAGGAAGGAGATTCCACCACCTCCCTAGGTAACCCTAGGTAAGATGTCAGTGTAAGCTTGGGTCTCCATTCCTTCTGTGTGCGGCAGCTTTTGCTTCCATATTAGTGATCCTAACTAATATCAAACCACAACACATCTCTGTATGGCCGGCACAACAGCTACTGTAGTCAAAGCAAGATTCATTCATTCCCCGTGCAAACAGATACAACTCTGACTTCAATAGGAACTGTACCTGCTTGCACCAGGTTTAGCTGATTTCCAAAATACGGCTGACGGGATTGCTTTGTAATTTAAGAGGTAATGAACTCAATAGGCCAATTCCTCTCATGGGGTAGCCCCACCAGGTTAAACAGTGTTACATGAGAGATTAACCAGGCCCAGTATGTACATGTTGGCAAAATGGTGGTGAAAATGGACATGGTAATGGCTGAACAATAATCATAATACCTTGCACTTCTTTAGCACTTCTCACCCAAAGATCTCAAAGCACTTCACTAATCACTTAAGCCCCCAAAGTTACTAGGTATGATCAGTTCTATTTTATAGATGGGGAAAGTGAGACACTGATGGGTTAAGAGACTTACCTAGGGTCACGCAGCAAGTCAGCAGCAGCGTTAATGCATGTTAATATAGTTTGGCCAGTGAGAGCCTGGTTCCGATCATACACCAATTTCACACCACCTAGCACAGTGCGACCTTGATCCGTGACGGGGGTTCTCCCCTGCTCCCCAATACAGATAATAATTTACACTGGTGTAGCACCAATGCGTAGTTTTGTTCCTGATCTTAATTACACTGGCATAAATCAGAATTAGTCCCATAGAGCCAACATTTTGAAAGGTATTTAGGAACCTAAATTTAGTAAGGGTATTTATGCTAGATGCCAACTGGAATTTTCAAGAGCACCTCGGTGCCTAACTCCCATGATCTATCTTTAGGTCCCTAAATACCGAGCAAAATCAAGCCCTTAATGTTCACGTAGCCAATTTGGATTAGCTAGATGTTGGAAATAATTAGTTTACTCAGCTTCCACACAAATGTTCTTTTATTAGTCCAAAGGCCACTTGATGTAGATTACCTCCAAAATACAAATACAAACATATACCCACTTTTACACTATGTCCTAGTGACAATATAGTTAGAAGCACTGGCCAAATACTCACAACAGTATACCTTGGGAGATACATTCATGTCATGGCATGACTCCAGAAGGGGAAGGAACAGCTCTGACAAAGAAACCCCTAAAACCTTGCCTTTTATACACTATAATAAATGACATTATTGCTGGTTACTGGACCTTAGCTAAACCCAGAAGAGGCAGCTTAGGGTGGAATTTTGTCCTTTCCCCTCCACTGAAGACCTGATGAACCTCATCAAGGTTTTCTGTCCAATTAAGCGTGTTACCTCAACCCAAACCGTAAAGAAGATAACCCTGGTATTTCAAGGGTCACTACCGATTAAACACAAACAATCCTTCTTTCTCATCCTCTCTTCTTCTGGCCACATAGTTTGGGCTTGTCACTCGTGCTAACATCCAAACTCAGGTTAAAACTGTCATTCATCCAGGCCCAATGGAGGTCTATATTCCTATCCTAGTTAAACTTTTTAACTTCTCCCAAACCAGGCATCCTTCCCTGCAAAATAAAGAACTTATCCACTCTAATCCAGGTGAGTAAGGAGCTTTCAGAGGCCGTGAGAATAGATTCTTTCAAAGCCAAAACAGCACAGTGCCGTATTTAAGCAGGTTGATTAGACAATCATCTCTTAACGTACATCACTTACAGGCCCAAATCCACCTCCCTACCCAAAAAAACCCTTTAAAGCCCATTAGACTTGTGTACCCCTAACCCCTGAATGGAGAGATGCTCCCTCCCAGTTTAGCTACCCCAAAAGAAACACTCATCTGCCTCCCACTCCTGGGTTCTTGATTTTCTTCCACATAAGACAGCCCAACAGGAAGGAAGCCAGCCAGCAATGATCCACTGTGCTACTGCCTCTGACTCAGTACTCCCACCCAGACCATCCACGTAAGGTTTCTGCTTCCTCTTCTAAAGTAAGTTACGTACATGGGGATGAGGTGGGTAATCAAGCCTGGGAAGGGGGCGATAGCCCCCTGTGGTTCTGATCTGCTGCAGGCCACATTTGTTTTCTGAGCCAGAGATAGAAATGCTCTGTGGCCGGCATGGTTTAGCAGTCGTCAGATGGGGGAACGGACAGCAGCGTTCAGGCAATCCATCCCCATGCAGATACTCCCCATCAGTTGGAATACTGCTCACCAAACCCTGCGCTCTCTCATTTCCCCCACCCACCCCACCATCTTCTTTCACTCGCTTCGTCATTCTAAACCTCCCCGCAGGCCCACCCCTGCCCTAGCTCCGCTTACCGCTGGAATCGTAACTGAGGAAGTCCGAGAACTCCTGCGCCAGGGTCTCGTCGCTGGCAAAGGCAGAGATGCAGGCGAAGAAGTGAATGCATCTCTGGGCAGCCTCTTCCTTGGCAGAGCTGGCCTTGCTGGATTTCAGAGTCTGGCACGAGCAGAGAAACCTGTGCTCTGGCACATTCTTATTGCTCATCTTCTGAGCAAAGGAAGCGTGGAGATACCCCAAGCTGTGCTTCTGACTGGCCTTGCACTTCACTACCAGAATATTCTTGGTAATCCTTTGAACCAGGGGGCCGGTGGGCTCCGTTGCCAGCTGCCAGATGGTTTGCTTAGTTTCGGGGGAGGCCTGCATGGAGTTTAAGATGGAGCTTTTCAAGGTTAAAGGGGTGGCCTCGGTCTGACAGTTCACAGCCAGCTTGATGTGCTGGCACTGGTTTTCCACCACGCCTTGAGTGGCTGCCTTCAAACACGACGGGACATAGCAGCGTCCGGAGCTGAGCTGCGTGATGATAGTTCCATCCACAGTCTGGATGGTTGTCTCTGAAACCCCCAGCTCCACAAAGCACCGGTAGTCTGGCCCCCGGTCTCTCTGCCGTACCGAGTAGATCTGCAGATCCGAGCCCGTGATGATCTTCACGGCGTCGACGCCAGGCTGCTTCCGAGCGCCGTAGCGAAAAATCGTCCCACAGGTTTTGTTCTTGCAGCTCAGCCCTCGGGTGCCGTTGTAAGTGCCGCAGCGGGGACATTTCCTTATTCCCCTGAGCGTAGCTTTTCCCAAGTCCGATAAGAAGGCCGGGACTTTAGTCCTCACTGAGTTTGGGTCCATCCTCCAGGGAGCCTGAAACATCAGAGAAGTCAAGAAGTCAATCAAACTGGATCTCCTGCTTCGCTCCCTAGCTGCTCATATTATTATTATTTGTATTACAATCGCACCTTGAGGCCGCAATGGAACTCAATGCCCCAGTGTGCTAGGAGCTGTACAAACACATAGTGAGAGACAGCCTCTGCCCTCAGCAGATCAACAGACAAAGCAGACAAAAGGTGGGAAACAGAGGCAGAGAGAGGGGAAGTGACTTGCCCAAAATCACATGGCAGGTCAGTGGCAGAGCTAGGAACAGAATCCAAGGATTAAAAATTATATTTCAAAGAGTGTCCTTACCTGTGTTGTTCATCCCAGCTTCTCTTAATCAAAGAACTGAAAAGAATTTAGGACTAAATCTACAAAGGGGCCCCATAGATGCAGTCAGCCTCATGCATACATAGCCACTTTCCAAGCTGAGAGACTTGGACTGTGTGAAGCGGGGCAGCTGGGTGTCCAAATCCCTTATGCAGCTCTGAAAATCTCAGGCACGTTGGTTAAAATAGTGGTGGCCGATTGATCCTAGTGCTTCTTTAGCTGGAGGTGATGGTGGGAGCTCTTTCAAAAAAAGCTTGGGGGAGACAACGCTGTCTCTCTGTCTCACACACGGCATCGTGTTCAGGCTATACGTTATTTTAAGTCTCTTCAGTCCAGGAGAAAGTAAAGTTTAAAGACACCTACTATATCAATAGGGCCCTTCATTTTTGTTTTTTATTTTATTTAATTTTCCCCGGGAATTTACTGGTGTTTATTACTGCAACAAAAAGAGGTGAAAATTGGCGGAAAAAGCTATTAATAATTTTTCTGAGTAAATATCAGGGTTTGTTTTGGTGGACGGAAGGACAGGGGGAAAAGTATGCAGTAGATTAATGCTTTGATGAATGGAATTTAATGTGGTTTGCTGCAGAACTAAAACAGAACTCAAAACACAATTTCTCCTCTGAGTTTAAGAAAACAATACATCCTCTAATCCCCAAATAAAACTTTTCATTGGAATAAACAGTTTGCTGTTGTGTAAACAGAACTATTAGCCAATAAATATTGACATTTAAGAATTGAGCCACATCATTTGTAGCGCATACATTCCACTTCATCCTTTCCTCCTGTTTTTGTTTTTAAACTTTCCTTGTGTGCTGAAACACATTCTGATACCAATTTTCATTTTCTTCCCATTTTAGTGGGTCAGATCTTTAAACCGTTCCCTGCTAACAGCTTGAAATGTGTCTGTGGTGGGCGTGAAATTCATCAGTACGTTCAGATGCGCAGGCACTTCAGGGCTTGCGTGGGTGCCTGTTTGTTTATTGTGTGTATCTTCTAGCGTTACCACCACAGGCTGCTTTGCATATACACACAGACTAATGTAGTATCATAATAAGATGCAATGCATGCGACATATGTATTTTCCTAATAAAGCAAGTTATTTTCTATATATTTGAATGATACAAAAGTAGGGTGAAAATTGGAAAAAAACGAATAATATTTTTTGTAAAACCCAAGATTTTTTCAGTAAAAAACAGTTTAAATTGAAAACAAAGGAGCCTATATATCCATAATACTACTCCGCCCACCCTGTGGCCTGGTCTACACACAGTTTTATACCGGTGTGTGAGTTTTACCAATTATACCCGGTGTTACATCAACATAAAGGTGCCTTATACCAGTATTGCTTATTCCTGTTCCCTCTGTCCCATATGGGAAAAAGCTATACCAGTATAAGCACTTTTATACTGGTATAAATGCATGCACATGAGGAGGGTGGTACTGTATTACCTATACCCATATAATGAAAGCAGTATAACTTTTGTGTGTAGACAAGGTCTGAACTTAAAACTCTGATCAGAATGGCATTGCTATGATATTCTTACTACGTAGGGATCTCATCTTTCAGCCCTAACTCAGAAGTAGGTCTGCTAAAGACACAGAGCCTCCCCCCCGGGTGTAAATCAGGAATAACTCCATTGATGTCAATGGAATTACACCAGTGTAAAACTGTGTTAGAGGCAAATCAGGCCCCACAAGACAACTCAGAGTTAAGGCTGCAAGGATCAGGGTCTTGACCCCTTGCTAGCAATCTGGATAGTACTCTAAGCACCAGGGCCCCTCAAAAGTATATAGGCATCTAAATGGGATTGTAATGCAGGTAGGTACATCTTTACCCCAATATAACACTGTCCTCGGGAGCCAAAAAATCTTACCGCGTTATAGGTGAAACCGCATTATATCGAACTTGCTTTGATCCACCGGAGTGCACGGCCCTGCCCCCCCAGAGCACTGCTTTACCACGTTATATCCGAATTCGTGTTATATCGGGTCACGTTATATCGGGGTAGAGGTGTATCTAAATATCTTTGATGATCTGGGCCCAGGTGTCAAATGCGGGCAGAGTTGTCTCAGCTCTTCTAAGGCAGAAACACTGACTTCTATACAGCTTGTTATAAGGGGTCTTTTTAATGTGTCCTTTAAATAGATATAAAATCTCCTTTCTCCTCTGCATGGACATTAACAATCCCCCAGCAGCTTTCAAAGTGTAAGGGTTTGCTCCAGGCTCATGGCCAAAATCTGCTCACTCCCCACTGCTGCAGAGTGAGCTGTGCACTGGTTCTCTGTATGACAGCTGGCCTCCTGCCATGATGGTAGCCTCCCCTGTCTGTATGGGGCTGACAATGAGAGTTCCGTATGTGGCTTGCAGGAAGTAGTCAATGGCAAACTGAATTGGGAGGAAGAAAGGCACTTAGAAATGTAAGGGTACGTCCTTAGTGGTTATTAAGAGAGTGCGAGTCAGTCCCGTGTGTAGGAGTGAATAGGGGGATGACATGAAAGATAAGGTGAATATGAGAGCAGGAAAACGGATTAAAAAAATCAGTGAGATGAGGGAACAGTTGTGCAGAGCCCTGAAGGTGAAGATATGGGGTGATCAACTATTTTCCACATTTGATTATATATATATATATATATATATATGTGGGCATTACAGCTGGAGTTCCCAGCATGCTGGGAGGTGCAGACAAAAAAGTCAACGTTATATACAACAGGCTTATAAATCCATCTCTGCCTCCACCCACACCACCACAATGTCACCCAATATCGCTGCTGACGCTTCCTTCAGAGGAAAAGCAACATAGGCCATAAGTTGTACTCACATCTTCAGCTAAGAATGTCTCATGTGGGCTCTGTGTTGGGGGGGGGATGGGAAAAGATGCGATCTGATGCTTTCAAGTCTTCCTGGAATTCTGACCAGTGTCTAGCCTCTAAATTTTAGGTGTCATAATAAAGAAGTTCCGTTTGATCTGTTGGTGGCAGACTGTCATGCTGTTGCTGTGAGGGCACAACAGAGCAGAGCTGCACGGAGGGTGAAACCTGGATCTACAATTAATGCAGCAGAAAGTGACCTTTGAAACACACTGGACATCCAGGAGTAGAATGTATAAGGTTAGGACTTTGGCAAAAAAATGAGAGGACCAAGTGATCTAATGGCTTTTACTATACAAAATGAAATAAACTAGGCTAGGCAGAATCAGATTTTATTTATAATTTTTACTGGTAATATCAATGGTTCGTTGTAAGCTTTTTTAATTTTTATCTATTTAAATTTTCACAGTTGCAGGAAATTATGTGGGGGAGAGGGGAGGACCAAAATGATTTAATGACAGTAACTGTTGAGATTAAAAGTTAAAGTTTTATAACTGTTAAACACAAATTGTCAACGTCACATGTCAAAATACACAAAGTAAATACCCTTAAGTCAAACTCTAGTAAGTTCTTAAATAGTTCTTTTCTTACTTTGCCTATCTGTACATTTTGATCCTTAATGAAAATATTTTTGCATTGACTTCAGTGTACAGCGAAATCGACATTTACCGATAATTACCCCCAAAAAATCTCATTGTTCCAAGTCTAAATATAGCCAAAATGACTAGGTCAGAGAACAAGTCCTTACTGAGACCATTAGCAATAGCCCAATGAACTTTGGCAGATTTCAGTTTTCTTACGTTTTGTAGATGGGAAATTGAACTGAGTCCTCGCCAACTACACAAACACCTATTCACCTATTTGTGCTCAGAGCTATCTTATGATGGAGCAAAGGATGATGTCAATTTATTTCACAGGATGTGGACCTTGTCATAAGTGTTATTATTTGTCCGTTCAGTGCCAGCAATGTGCATGTGGATGATTTAGTTGGGGATTGGTCCTGCTTTGAGCAGGGGGTTGGACTAGATACCTCCTGAGTCCCTTCCAACCCTGATATTCTATGATATTCTATGACAAAAGATGAGACACAAAAATAAAGCCATTTCCTGCGCCAATGAGCTTACAATCTAAGCAAGACAGAGTCGACACTGGGAACCAGATGAAGAAATAAGTTGGAAGTTTGTTTTTATTTGTATGGTAATATTGTCGACTCACTTGTAGGCATTCAAAGAGATGAGGGGTGAGGAAGGATTTTAATGGAATAAGGCTGGCAATATGACAGATTCACCAAGGACTGAATGAGAAGTTATGGAACTTTGAAGAACAGCTACCAAACATGTACAAACTTGGCTCTGGTAAAGTAATCCTATAATGTTACAAATTCAGAGGAATCTCTGTTTTGTTATTTATATATAAAAAAAACAGCATGTAGCTGATACACAAAGATAATAAGAGCTCAGAAAATACTGGAGAAGAAAATGTCACATAGTTTGAAAGATTCTTTTGAGGGATTATTTGGTCTTTGTTCCTTGATTTATATTTAAAAGATGCAGACGAAGAGCATAGAAGTACTAGGTAAGCAGTGTGTCTGAATGCAGTTGTTTGCTAGGTGTCTTTCCTTCCTTAATCACACATGCCTTGAATTAAATAAAAAGATAATTTACAAGCTAGACTGAACAGATTGATCCAAATCATTTACAGTTTTTAGATCTTCCTAAATTAAGTGAGTCCAAATTTTGCTGCACTGTCAATATGCCAGGAGCCCGACGGCTGTCCCTATTTAGCATAATCATGAAGCAGTTCACACTACCCCCCCACTTCGGACTAAGGTACGCAAATTCAGCTACGTTAATAACGTAGCTGAATTCGAAGTACCTTAGTCCGAACTTACCACGGGTCCAGACGCGGCAGGAAGGCTCCCCCGTCGATGCCGCGTACTCCTCTCGCCGAGCTGGAGTACCGGCGTCGACGGCGAGCACTTCCGGGATCGATCCCAGAACATCGATTGCCTGCCGCCGGACCCTCCGGTAAGTGTAGACATACCCTCTAATACAGAAGGGTAGTTGGTACATCAGATGAGCCAGAGCACACGATATCCTGATCCAGCATTTTTTGGGATAAAGTTCCTTTCGCTTTGCCACTATGAATTGATTACATGAACGTGAGGCAAAAATATTGTTATATAACAACCTCTGCACCATCACATCACCAAATATTAAAGAAGTTGTTGTGTAGAATGCTGTAGCAGAACATCATGGTAACTCAATGGCTACCCTAGGCATTTCTGGCAACAACAACAACAAACAAACAAACAAAAAAACCCACTGTTGCTAACTCTGGGAGTGCTGGTGTTCACAGTAAAGACACTAAAGTAGACAAGGCTCCCAGTGTTTTTAAAACCCTATCATTTGGCAGGTGCTCAGATCAGGGTTAGACACCACAATGCTTAAAGTGACCACAGGCGATTTGTCTATCTGTACTAAAACTATCACGGGTCTGCATCACTTTTAACAAAAATGAGCAAGTTTTACCAACCCTCCCACCCCCAAAACCCTTGGGTAGTCACAGCCTCCGATGGTTGGAGGATATCACATTACAGCACAGGTTGACCTGATAGTGGCATTTCATGGTGATGCCACATCATGATACAAAGGTTTGTGATTTCCCAAGTGTTTTGATGTTTACAATGTAGCAACAATGCACAGAGCTGTTGTGAAGTTACCATAAAGATGCAAATTCTGTGTCTTCAAGGCATCATCACATCACTATGCCAAATGATATGACATCACAATACAATGATGCCATGAAGATAATAAAGGACCCACAACCTGGTCATGTGCACCTCTACATCATCACATCAAGAGGCCAAACACTGTGATGTGACACTGATGTCATACCACAGTGACTTCATGGCATCACTTGGTCTACCAAACGTAGCCACATGCACTGTGGCATCTTTACATTGCGGTGTCACAGTGACTGCAGAGATGACACAGCATAGTGCCACAAGGGTACGTGCGTTACAGCACCATGGCTACACCAGTGTCATAGCGACACTGATGACATCACACAAGCGGTATCACAGCACCACGGTTACACTTCTGTGTCACCATGGCACTGATGACATCACACAGGTGCATGTGCTGCAGCACCATGGTTACACCGATATATCAGAGGGCCATCAATGACATCACATAGGCGCATGGGCCGCAGCACCATGGTTACACCGATATATCACAGCGACATCAATAACATCACACAGGCGCATGCACCGCATCACCATAAACCGATATATCACAGCGACATCGATGACATCACATGGATACATGCG